GCTCCAGCCCGCAGCGCTGCTGCGCCCCACACCTCCTACTCACTCTCGCGAGAGCAGGCGCACCTCTCGCGAGAACAGCTCCGTGGTCCAGCCCGTGCAAAAGTAGGTGGGCTCTTAGAAGGGAAAGAAGGGACCGGAAAAAACCTTCCGTCTTCCTCCGAGACAGCTAATGTGCAGGTCCCATGATACTGAGGGGACATCTCCATTGGTCAGAGCCTGCTCAGCCGTGGGAGCTTAAAACTCGAGGCTGACCCGCGAACCTGCGGCGGACGTCTTGCGCGCTTCCTGGCCCGTTGTCTTGGAAACAGTGGCAACCCTTTCCTGTGGCAAAATACCCGGGCCTCGGCTCCCTGCGCAGGTTTAGTTTCAGCCCCTTCCTTCTTCTCTTCCACCCGTTAGGCTTACCGTCTGCGGCCAGTGGGGTCCTTCGCCACAGGGCTACTTTTGCTTTACTCCGAAGGCCGGGGCCCTTCCCAAAGCGGCAGCGCGGATGGATCTGGCAGCCCACGTAGGGTCCATCCCCTGGGATGGCTCCTCCCCTTCTCAGCATCTCCAGGAAGGACCACTCGAGGCGCACCAGGCTCTCAGCCCGATCCGACCCCCAAGAGTCAGCTCCAGCGATCTCCAGGCCCTGATGCTCATCTGAAACATGCTCATACTACTACTAAACTAGTAGATTACTTCCAATTAACTTGGAAATGCATGAGCCGGGCGTGGTGGCGCACACCTGTAATCCTAGCACTCAGGAGGCTGAGGCAGGAGGATCACTGTGAGTTCCAGACTAGCCTGGACTATAAAGTGAGCTCAAGGCCAGCCTGAAATGCATAGCGAGACCCTGTCTCAAAAAGACCAAAAAAAACCTTAGAAATGCCAGGCCATTCAAATTGTACTGTCTCCCCAAGAGTATCTGTTCAAGTCGGAAATGTCTGACGGATGAGAAAGACAATTTTAAGTGTATCCTCTTTATAAGTTAAGTTCACTTCATTCAACAAATTTTTGTTGTGTGCCTGTGTATTTAGGCACTGATACAGGCTGTCAATTGAGCAGTCGTGAAGACAGGTACTGTAGTTTAGATCCTAGAGAACTAAGGAGGGGGAAAAGGAGTTTATCTGTCACTGCTAAGCCATATGAAAATAAATTGCAATAAGGAACTTTGTTTTAAAAGATCTTCCCTACAGAGAATGAATTTTAAAGAGACCAGATTAGGATATTTGTATTACAGTTGAGAAAGAATTAACTGAAATTAAGTGAAAGACTTAATCTCTTTTATAAGCCAGTTCTAACAACAAAGGAATATAAAGTGATTTTTTTTCTTTAGATACTTATTCCTTTAATGTAAGACTTGAAAAATTCAAAGCTGAAGGCTGGGAAATGAAGAGGGTATTTCACTGAAACTCAAATCAGGAGACTTGACTTCAGACTTGACGCCCGGTCATTGACTAGTGACACAACCAAATCAAGGTTTCTTATCATCCCTGAGTCTCAACTTCCTCATACATAAAACAAGGCACTTTAGCCTACATGCAGAGTAGTTAAGCCTGAATTACACTTTGGCATGCACACATCAGTAGGACGGAAGCTGGGAAGGAAATGAAATGAACCTTTGTGAAAACCTGACAGCATCAGCAGCACACGCCAGATGAAATCGGACACACACACCAGCTGAGGGCCTAAGAAACTAATACAGATGCCAAGAATACTTTCCTAAGAAACAGGGCCCTTCCCAGAGTGTGAAAACGGAAGCACTGCCACCTGCTCAGCCTCATATTCCCTTTCTCTGAAGCTATTTTGAACCTATGTAGTATTTAATAAATGATTCACTTGTTCCTAAAATTTAAGAACCAGACAGAAAATAAATTTTAAGCTAACACCTTAACGTTAAAGCAAGATTTCAAGAAAAGGATTACTTTTTTTTTCGTACCAGGAATCAAACTCAGTACCTTGCACTTGCCAGGCAGATGCTTGTGCTGCTGAGCTATATCCCAGGTCCTAGGATTACTTTTAAAACAAAAAATGTGACAAAGGGAAAAGACATTTTAACAAGACTTTAAAAATGATAATTGAGTACTTTTTTAAAAAAATACAGCTCTCATTATGATTAACTAAAACACCTGCTTGGCATTGTTAATTCAGATGAACAGTGGGCTCAACTCTACCGTTCTAACATGTATTAATAGAACCATAAATCTTCTCAGCTCACCCTATAAGAAAGTATTATGATCTCTTGTGCTAGCTGTAGTTATTTGGAGTACAGTAAATATAAAGTGAGAAGAAATTTAGGATTGAAATCCAGTTCTACAATGTCTCCAGTTATTGGATTACTCTTGAAGTTATTTTCTTTTTAAAGTTTTAGCAGGGCGTGGTGGTGCATGCCTGTAATCCCAGCACTCGGGAGGCTGAGGCAAGAGTATCATTGTGAGTTCGAGGCCAGCCTGGGCTACAAAGTGAGTTCAAGACCAGCATGAACTGCATAAGGAGAGCCTGTCTCAAAAAGACAAAAAAACAAAACAAAACATAAAAAACAGTTTTATTGCAATATAATTCACTTGCATACAATTCAAAGTTTTTAAAAAATATTTGCAGAGTTGTACACCCATCATCAAAAATAATTTTTAGAACAGTTTTATCCCACTATACCCATTAGCAGTCAATTCATCACCTCCAGCCCTAAATCATGACGGAATGTCTCTATAAATTTGGCTATTCTAGATATGTGATATTGCATATAAATGAAGTAAACATATGATCTTTGGTGTCTCACTTCATTCATGTGATGTTTTCCAGGGTCCATGTGTTTCAGTACCTTCTTTTATTGCCACTTGGAATGATTTCATTCTGTGCATAGAGCATATTTTATTGATCATTTTATTTGTTGACAGACATTTGGGTTGTTTGTACTTTGTGGCTATTGTCAATAACGCTGCTTTGAATATCCATGCACACATTCTGTGTGGATGCTGCTATTTGCGATACTTTATCCTTCAGCACACAGATCCATGACTTTCTGACTACAAAGGCAGGCATCATCTTTCCCCAGGAGTTCTGGAGCTTTACACTAGCAGCTTCTGACAGCCAGAGCAGATTCCATGGTGCTTCCTGTTTGAAAATTTGAGTCTCCCTTTGGCGCACTTGTTGAATTCCTCCCTGAGTGATGTTTCCTGCCTGAGTGATGGCCGCAGCTGGCAGTTCATTTGTGAAAGAGAGAAGTCAAGTTGTTCTTGTCCACATTCCACAGTTTTTTGGATTTTTTATGATTATAATTAACACACTGATTCTACACTCATGTAGAACAATGGAAAGTACAGTGAAAAATAATGAACCTTTATTTATTTATTTATTTTTTTGTTTTTTTTCCGGTACCGGGAATCAAACGCATGACCTTACACTTGCCAGGCAAGCGCTGTGCCACTGAGCTAAATCCCCAGCCCCAGTGAAAAATAATGAAGCAGACCATCTCTTTTGGTAGTTGCTATACATGCATTATTTCATAATAAACTAATATAAACATTGTGAAAGTGGAAATATATGGAACTTATAGCAGTCATTTAATATGCAAACATTGTTTTTTAAAGTTAAGAGATGAAGGATCTCCCTCATGCTTTGCTGCTGCTGTTGTAGTTGTTGGTGGTGGTTTGTTTGTTTTTGTTTTTTATTTTGCAATGCTACAGACCCATAGCTTTTCACATGCTAGGCAAGCACTCTACTACTGAGCTAAACCCTCAGTTTTCATGCCTTTGTTTTAAAAGCATGTATATTATATCACAGGCTATTATAAAGTTTATACCTTATAAACCTAATTCTTTTGTAATGAGTCTCTTGAACTGTAGAAACACATCTGCACTATTATTATAATATGATACCAAGTAATATTTTAATATATAGAAAGTGCTCATTAAATACTCAGTGAATTCTAAATTCATGACTACAGTTATTAGTAAATACTACAGATGATAATTGGGAAGGGCCACTCCAAACTAAAGACCTGCACAGCAAAATAAATAATGCTATTATATATCATACTCAACTATAATGACTCTTCTGATTTAAATCCCCATAGTCATAGCTGATTACTAATTTAACTTCCAATATGTAAAATACTGATGAAAATTTCTCTTTTAAGAAAATTACTATATGATTATCTGAAACTCAAAAACAAATAATCATGCCTAAATGTAATTACTTTAAAAAGGACTTTTTTTTTTTTTTTTGGTTTTTCTCCGGTACCGGGAACCGAACTCACAACCTTGCGCTTGTCAGGCAGGCACTTTTGCCGCTGAGCTAAATCCCCAGCCCTAAAAAGGACTTCTTTAAATATCATTGTTCTGATTTTAAATGGCTGACATATACTGTAGTTAATTATAAAATAGAAGCACAAAGTCTTATAAAAAGTTTGCTACACACATTACTAATTCAGCGAAGCATGAATGCTACCAAGCATTTCAAAAGCATTTATTATAGGTAAATGACAAAATAATTTAATTTACAAAGCAAAATTTTACACTCAGCTTTTTTGAAATGTCTTTGGCAAAGGTGAGACAGACTTCTCCTTCATATGAGTCAACAGCACACATGCCTACTTTTTAAAAGATATTAGATAACTTTGGATTATGCATTTAAAGGTCAAGGGCAATCTTTTGAATATTGTCATTACTTTGCAACAACATAAAACAGATTGTGGAACAAGTTGTTCCTGACTCTATCATTCCCAGTGCTTGGTTACTTTGCTTTTAAAATGAAACATATTCATTTAATTTGTTGATAAGAGTGTCTTTTTCTTTAGTTAAATGAAGTTCAACACAAATATTCTTCTGTGATTAGATAATTAGGTAATACTCATGTACATGGAACATGAATGTTGTATGTATACTTCTGGTGCAGAAAGCCATTAAAACACTGGCAAAAATCGTGGCTGAGAAGTAGCAGAGCTTTTATGATACATTGAATGCTTCCAAGCCCAGACTTTAGAAAAATCTCTGTTCTATTTAGAATTTTAAGCCATTAAATTACTGTATACTCTAGATCTATAATCTGGCCTCACACTAATTTTAATTTCTGTTTGTTTTTGGTTCTTTAGGGATATCTTGAACAGACTTGTCCCTTTCCCCACAATGGGATTTATGAAATCAGCCAACCTTTAAGGACACAGTAGGATTCCTCCTTGCCAGTCTTCATCGAATACAAAAGTAACTCACCACCTCAGCCTTGTTGGTTCACTGGCCTACATCACTTCATAGTTAGTCTCTTTCAACAAAAGGATGTGGCTACCAAAAAATAGTAAACAAACTTTAATCTTCGTGAATGCTAGTGTGCTTAGAACAAAAGATGTACTGGTCCTTCTTTACCCTGAACTAGGAAGTACATACCTGAATTTACAAAGAGAATTGTGACCAGACATAAGATGACGAAGAAACATATCCTATGAGAAATGTAACCTGTTGGAATATTTAATCTAGTGAAAGGAAGACTCAGAGGAATATCATGAACTGAAGTTGGAAGGCTATCATACAAGAAGTTCTTTTCTGTTCTTCCAGAGGGAGGAAACATTTCAGATCGCATATAAAAGGAAAAAATAATAACTAGAACTGTGCTAAAATGAAATGGATAACTTTATAAACAATGGTTCTCCAATTATTTTTTGGCATCTAGATAGTTTATTTTAAAAATACGCTCTGTAACATCCAAATTTATAAGATCTTAATCTCTCTCTCTTTTTTTTGTCTTTTTCTGTTTTTTATTTTTATTTTAAAGAGTAAAAGAAGGATAATGTACTAATGGGGGGGGCTTACTGAATTACAGACAAAGTGGTAGGAAATTATCAATGGTTGTTTTACATACTGTTATCTACAAATAGTTTCTCAGGAAAACAAATAGACAAGTAATAGTGAGTTACAGACAAAAGTGGTAGGTTGTTATCAATGGTTGTTGTACTATACTTTGGTATCTTCAAAGTGGTTTCTAAAGAAAATAAATACAGCTATACATGAGTGACCAACTGAATAGTCATTGACTATTCTCAATAGTTGTTATAGGAAACATATAGTAATAAACATACATCCACTTACAAAGTATCATAGGAACAATACAAACATTACAGAGTAATGGACAGATTGGTAGGAAAATATCAGTGGCTGCTGTAATACATGGTGGTATCTTCAAAGTCGTTTCTCAGGAAGACAGAGATATGCAAGAAAGATCTAACAAGTAGTTACAGCCTAAGGGTTGTGAAAAATAGCATATTACCTCCTCACCAGTGACTCCTTTCACTGAGGTGTGACAGAAGGAAGGCCAGGATTGAAAAGAAGAACCGAGACTTGTACCTGTGTCTAGCAACAGGCTGTTTTCTTTTTCCTCTATAGTCATGATTACCCGGGGCTCCTCCATGAAGATGACAATCTGGCCAGAGGGAGAAGGCAGAGTATGCCCCGGACCCCCTGATTCCCGTTAGACTAACTGGTAGGATGGGTCTGAGCTCTGGGGCCTCCACTTCAGAGGGCAGACCGATCTCCAGTGGTCACCTTTGCATTCAGAGCATGGCCCAGGGGGCTTCTTAGGGCAGTTCCTCTTGAGGTGTCCTGGCTTCTAATAGTGGTAGCAGATGAATGCAGTCGTTGAGTTCTTCTTGGCCCCCAAGAATCAGACTTAGGGTCTGTTTCTCTTAGTGATGCAGCAAAAGCAGCTGCTTTTTCTCAGTCTCTTTGTTTTCTCTCCTTGGCCTCCTCCTCATCACGGCTATAGAATACTAAGGTGGCAATTCTTACTAACATCTCAAGTGAGCCATCTGGGGCAAAAGCCATTTTTGTAGCTTTTTCTCTTTTTTTTGTCTTTTTGAGACAGGGTTTCACTATGCACTTCAGGCTGGCCTTGAGCTCACTTTGTAGCCCAGGCTGGTCTCGAACTCACAGCAATCCTCCTGACTCAGTCTCCTGAGTGCTGGGATTACAGGTGTGGGCCACCATGCCAGGCTTAAAATCTTAATCTCTTATGTAGTGATATTCTGCTCTTATCTCTAAATTGATTTAAAATTCTTCCTTTTCAAGTGTGTCCTTATCTCACATTTGATTGTACAGGTTTTTATCCTTATCAGTTGGTATAATACGATTCTTACAAAGATCTTGTTAGCTTCAAGTAGTAACCCAGTAGCAATATAATGGGTGTAACAAGATTACTGCAGAGCTCTTGTTTAACAGTAAGATGGTCTATAATTTTCTCCTTTTTAGATGGTCAGTAGCTATTCTGAAATTGCCATATAAACTCCTGATGAGAGTAAGATCTAAATTAAAATAAGGTCTGGTAAAATATCACAGTAATTTTTCTGGGTGGCTTGAGGAAATGATGTTACTGTACAGTGTTTACAAGTTGCACCTGGGTTTCACTATAAAAAACTCTGTGCCCTTCAAACTTTAATACCAGCTTACTTTTTTTGGTGGTACTGGAATTGAACCCAGGGCCTTTTCACAATGAGCTATATCCCCAGTTAGTTAGTTAGTTAGAGATGGGGTCTTGCTAAGTTGTCCAGGCAGGACTTGAACTCCTGATCCTCCTGCTTCTTCCCCCTAAAGTTCTGGGATTACAGGTAAATGCCACCATACCTAGTTCTAGATACATTTTTAATGGCTTTTTAAAATATTCTTAGAAACGTCTTCTTGCTCACTTTGCTCTTTATGTGGTTGTAAGAATTATCAACTAAGTTCCAGGGGAGATAAAGTCCTCAAAGTCTGCTGATTTGTCTTTACCCTGTTTGTTTTTTGATCATTACTTTTCCACCTCACCATCCACTTCTGCTCATCTCCAGCTATATGCCCAATGCCCTTTCTGCAATAGCAACTTTTCATTAAGACATGACTCATAAGCAGAGAATTCTCATAAGCAGAGAATTCTCTCTGCAGAAATAACGCTTGACTCTTAGACACCATACAGAGCATCTGTGTGCCAGCCCCATCTGCCAGGCAAAGCTTTCTCTTCTTGTTTTCAGTTATCTGATTCACCACTTCTATGGCACACATGTTTGGTCCTATGTTGGACTGCTGCTCCTCATCCAACAACAGTAACAATATATTGAGACCAAACTAATCCTCTACTTGCTCTTGGAGAGAAACCTCTCTCAGATAACATGCATGTCACAAAAGATTGTCATGAATCCTTCCATTTGTTTGTTCATTTTGGTCGATTTAAGGTTCTACTTTCTTTGGTTCATGACTTCTGATAACTCCAGGTCAAACCATAAAAGTAATGGACTGCAATGATGTATGCACAAGAACAAGCACCTGCTGGGCAAAGCCTTCAGCTTTCTGTGCTAACTACCAAGCATGCAGTTTCACTGGGCTGCCTTTATTATGGACTCCTCACTAAGCTCCCTTCTCAGTAATGGAAATTATGACAAAATGAGGTGGAGCTATGGGATTCAGAGTCTGTAGCCTTGAAGATAATGGGGACTCCAGACTGAGTGTCGTTCAGTTGCTAAGAAGGCTGAACCAGGTAGGTGTGAACTGTCTCTAACAGGGCAATAAACAGAGAGGTTTAGAGAAGCAAGAACCAGAGGGAAATCTTCAGATAGAAGAAGGACCAAGCTATCCAAATGCAGAGCTATTTAGGTGCCAAAGACAAAAGGGTTGCTAAAAGACGCTACATTTCATAAGGCAAGTAGCTAGGGGTGTGCCCCTCTCGGTGCGCATGTAAAGGACACATATGTCTGTATCAACTCAAGACAAAGGATTCACAGTTCTAAGAAGTGCTTTAGTCTGAAGAATGAAAAAGGTGATGAGAGACAGCTGTGTCCTAATTAATTTTCTATTTTAAGGGCTTAGATCTCAAGAGAGCTTTATTTGATCAGCCCAACACAGGTTAGGAAGGAAGTTAGAAAGCTTAGCAAGTGCTGAGAGCTGTAAATTCTCATCACTCAGTTGGGGCTCTCTATTGCATTCATACACTGCATTGGGACAGGGTTTAGGTAACAGAGCTAAGTGGAAATCCAGTCCAGAGCTCACAGCCCCACATTCTAAAGACAGTTCATGAATGCAGCAGGTGTCCAAGGATTCAATACCAAATATGAGAGGGGATATAAAAGCAAAGTATAGCAGAAGAGAAGCTAGACTTGAGACACTCAGATTTCTATGTAATCAGCAGACGCACAGAAAGTACATCAACAAATAAAATGACCTCTAACCATATAGGTACCAAAGAAGACACCAGCTGGAGAAGCATGGCCAAAATGAGGGAAGCTTACAGTACTTAGTTCAAGGGAACTCAGTTTCAATGAGAAGCAAGAAATAGCCTGTTAATCAGGAAACCATGTTAGCAGATCAGAGGCAGAAAATTAGTGATAGAAGCAACACTATTATTTTTGTAACCTAAAGAGATTTTGAAGTACTAGTAAGTCCTAGAGCCTGACTCAGAGATGTCTTGCAGGGTGAGATAGAAGCAAAAGATGGGAGCTAAGTAAGGCATCATTTTAAATTATGACATATTTAAAATTTTAAAAATGTAACAGGGTTCTTTAATATGTAAAATACTCTACTACAGCTAAAGCCCCATTCTCCAACCCTTGTTCCCTTCTTTTCCCTTGCTATGAAACCACCACCCTGAAATTCATGCACTTTGGTATTGTTTTTATTTTTTTACCCTGTGCATATAAATTCTTAAACAGTATATACTCTTTGTGTGGTTAAATTTTTTTACATAAATGTATCATGTGGTACATATTTTTACAACCTGCTCTGTTGTTCTTGAGATTTAGTCACACTGATTTGACATATTGACCTAATTCATTCACTTGTACGATAAATGAGTTTATTCATTCTCCTACTACTAAATATCTCCTTTCATTAACGCAGTCTTAAAATAAACATTCTTGTACACATCACTTTGTGGCTACATGCATATACCACTCCTAGATTGTTACATTGTAGACAAGATGTATCTTAAATTTGTGAGTTGTACTGATTTACATTCCCACCTGTAGTATGTATGAATTGCCATTTCCTCTCATACCTGCCAAAAACCACATAGATGTTTTATTTCCTTGCATTTCTCTGGCTACTAGTATTATCAAACATATGTTTAGATGTTTATGGACTATTCTGAATACCTGCAATGGTTTGAATGTTTGTCCCCTCCAAAACTCATGCTGACATTTAACTGCCGTTGTAGTAATATTAAGAGGTTGTTCATATATTTCTTTTTGCCCTGTTCTCACCTGGCAGAAAGGTCAAAGAAGCCTCTTTATAAGGTTATTAAAATTACGTTGTGAACTGATCACATTCCAAAGGCTCCATCGCCAAATACCATCATCTTTGCAGTTAGGTTTCAATAATTGAATTCTGGGGGCACAAAAATATTTAGACTATAGCATACAGTGTAAAGATGAACCTGAAAGTGATCCATCCCACACTTTTACCTAAGGATAGAAAGCTAGTTTTAACATATTTATTAAAATAAATATTTATTAAAATATCTTTCAACATTTTCAAAGATATTTATTAAAATATCTTTGAATCAAAGATACATATCATAAAATAAACTACCAATTCCTTAAAATTGGGTAATAAGGATACTACATACTAAAAGTTGTGGGGCATAGGAGGCTCAGCTTCTACAGGGCTCTGCTCATTGAAGGTTGGCCCGTGGGGTCAGTG